TTTACCTACCAAGTACTGGGGGTGCCAAATAACAGTCACTTCAGTTTGACTATGCGATAATACAGATTATGAAGCGGAAATGTATATGGAGGCTAGACCGAAGCGTGAGCCAATATATACCATTTTCAGTACCAAACGTCGCGAAATCAAAGCTTTATTTGAAATATTCTGAGCTTTTTGGTGAATTCGATCGACGCATATAGCTAATTCGATATAAAATTTTATGGCATTTCGAGGTGTTGCAAATGAAATAAACACTCCACCTCTTAGAGGAGGTTATAAAATTCAGTCAATTTGACCTAAAAATTGACAGATTTGGGAAAGAACTTCGAACTTGTCGGATATGGAAATTCCAACTCCATGGATGGCTGCAAGCCTATGTTACCGAGGTCTGCACATTGACGATCTGCCAATTTTAGGGAAACCAAATGTGCCAATGCCCAGGAAGTATCAGACAAAGAGTTTTACCGGAAATCGATAAACTTTTGCAACAGATTCATCGAGTTGGACAGAAATACCATAACCGACAAATAAATCCTTCCATTTAAGAGGAATCTTAAGTTTATTAACAAGTTTACAAGGAACTAACAGAAAGCTAACCTGCTCTGGATGAGAAAACTCTAAATAGCCGAAGCTTGAGTGGGAAGATGATATCAGAAATCTCCAATCAATCATGGCCTTATAAGGGACCACCATCTACCAATGCAAAGAAAGTTAAGGGAGTAACAAAGTCGTCCAGAAGAAGAGCTCGTAAAAAGGTATACAGAATTGCGACCCACTTCCGAGCAATAATTATTTCGTTGCGAAAACACAGAACCAAGCTTATGACAGTAAAACCTTAAACACAAGCATTGACTGTAAAGAGGATGCAGTTATAGGTCTATCCGATTCCCCGAAGTAGAATAGTACCTTTTGGTAGTACCTTTTTGGGTGACCTATTTTCCGGTAAGTCAGATATTTTTAAAATCTAGTAAACAACTGTAGACTGTATAGACCAGGCATGATTAGTTAGTATCAATGACCTCACATGAACCACTGACTCACTGCTATCAAGGTTTACAAATCACGTCATAAGAACTATTGACATGCTAGTTTCTACATTTTTTATATATTTTTCTATTTCCCGATCCCTTTTTCAATACACATATCCTGCTTAAGATTTCAAGCCTAAATGATAATTTTACAAATATTTTATTTTATAATTCCTTATACTGTTTAAATCTCCTAAAATAATAACAAATTTCCACAAATCTGGCATCCCTTAATTACTTTGGAGCCATAAGGAGGAATGTAACAACACTTCCACCTCACTCTCTCACACACTCTCTGTTTGTAAAGAGTGATATATTTATGATTTATGATAAAGGGTAGGGTGATGGAGTAAGTGTGTTATTGGAGGAGTAAGTGGGGAGCACACCACCACACAACAACAACAATAGTGGACAACTGAGCAAGAGAACTAATCTACTCACAGTAATAACAATAATAAGGGAATTTATTAGGACGGATGGAGATGGAGAGAGCGCTCGCGAGAGAAATTGGCACATTAACTTGATGTGGGGAGAAGAGCCCAAAACAGAGCAAGTGAAGTGAATGAGTAAAGCAGGTGTGTTGTTTTCTCGTTGTTGTTTTTGTTATGTTCGTCGTCGTCGTCTTCTCAGCCGTTTCATAGGAGCCAGCCAGGAATAAGGTGATGTACGAGTTGTTGTTTTTGTAGCGGTTTGTGGGTGGTGTGGGGGGAGATCGCTTTTTGAAGGTGGATAGACAATAATATATCACTTGGCAAACGCACTTTGTCACTGTCATTTGTTTTTCTATGATTTGAAATTTTCATTTGAAGTGATTTGGTTGTGTTTCTGTTCTGCCTGCAATCAAGTTGTGTTGTACGTGAACTTGGAGGGGGCGTCTTTTGACAACAAAAATAATAATAACAGCAACAACAACAAGAAAACACTTGCATACGTCACTTCGTCACCCATTCATTCATACAGAAAAAAACAAGATTGCGTTATGATGACGACGGCAACGACGAGAGGAGGACGACCACAACTGTGTTGTGATGATAATGATGAGCAGATAGTGATGACGATGGACAACATCGCTTTCGTCGTGGCCGTGGTCGTCATCGTCGTCGACATCACCATTGTTCTCAGCGATATTGTACAACACTCGCGTATCGTGTAGAACAAATTTGCGGAAATTCTAGGCAACTGCTGCTGCACAGCTGCCTGCCTGCTTCCAGGGGCAACAAACATATTTTTCCTTTGGTTTATTTCGGGTTTTTTTTTCTTCTTAATTTCGTAGTGTTTTTTCTTCTTCTTTTTTTGTTTTTTGCTGTTAACCACAAAAATGAATATCGCCTGTGTTTTTCATAGTTCATCGATATGTGAATATGTGTGTGTTGTTGCCTTTGTATATTGGATGTGGGGAGGCTATGTGAGTTTTCGCGTGAGTAGATATACAAATTTTTTCTCAAAAAAGAAAAGATTCTGTTTCATCCATCGTATTGACTTTTTGTTTAATTTATTCTTTTTTTCATAATCATTTTTTTATTTTCCACAATTAGTATTCAAATTTTGTGCACTTCAATTGCCTTCTGGGGCCATTTATTATCAGATTCACTTGACCATATTCTTTATTTCTTCATGATTTTTGCCATTTATAGAGATTTATTTTTATATTTTGAGTTGAGTTTTATTAATTGAATTCTTTATGCATTATTTTATTTCAATACTTTTCATTTTTTTCGCGTTATTTTTCTCTACCTCAAATTTGTCGGAGTTTTGTGTTTAAATCAAATCCGTGAAATTCTTTTGGGTTCCATACCAAAAACCAATTTAGAGTTTTTCTTTGTGTGTTTTACTTTTTTTCTTTATTTTCCTTCGAGAGTGTGTGAGTGTGTTTGTTGGCTGGTCGATGTGTATGTTTGCGCGTACGTTTGTGCGGGTGTGTGTTCGTGTCAGTGTTGTGTTGTAGTAAGAACAACAGTTAACGGCGTGTGGCGTTAAAACATTTCGGCCAAAACTGTTTGGCATCGGAAGAGAAAATTTATACTAAAGTCAAAGATGTATAATTGAATGTTATTTGGCCAACTTTTCAGCGACAATCACACAACGAACTTGCTCTCTCTCCCGCTCGCTCTCTCGGAACTTTCCAGTGAGCGAATTTGCCTGCTCTCCCCCACTCGTGTACTGAGAAATCCACGACTAAAAATCTGTTTCCTTCCTTTATTTAACGATAAGCCAGGCAAGCAACAGAATTGCCATCAGTGGGGGAAGGGTGCAAAGCTTTTTTTGTTTACTATAACAAAATTGTTGGAGAGAGATTGAGCAATGCGAAAAGAGAATATCACGCTACTGGGGGTCGTCTTCTACACACCAAGAAAAAACAAAAGCTTTTTAGCACCTTCGTTGGTTGCTGTTATTCACAGAAAGTTTCTTGTCGAATTCAAAGAATTCTTGTTATGACTTGCATACCTTTGTATTTGTTGGGCTGTATGGTTGGTTATTCCCATGAAATAATGCAACCCACCACACTTGGTTACAAGGAGTGTGGGTGGGGTGTGAAATGCACAACTATCTTCATTATCTAATAAACTAACAGGTGTCAGTTAAAATTAGTGCAACAATGCGAATGCCGTGAGTAATGAAATTTCAGTAGTTTGGAGGAATTTTTAATAGTTTGACGACTTTTTGGAGTAAAGTAATTTTTGGGGGAAAATGAGTCAAGTCGTAATAATTTGGAATCTAGAAGGTCTATGAGCATACAAACATACGTGGGAAGTATAAAATAGCTAAGGATTGATATCATAATCTACAAATTTGGTTTTAACTATATCCAATCATCTCCAAAAAATGGCAGAGAAGGTTACAAGGAACTTAAGAATGAGTTAAAACCTCGTTGAATTCTTATACCCTCTTATGCACATTCAAAATACGTACACAAAATCGAACAGAACTAAGCCAGGAACTAGACTAGGACTTCAATCGAAATCCTTAAGACAGCAAAAAGATTAGGGTTCCGTTTTATGGGTCATACCAACACGAGGACAGGTATTGATAGATTTGTAGTAAGAAATTGAAAAATGTACCAAAATAGCAAATTGGGGAGGTATCGTAATATTGGCGGCTATCCCGAAATTGTACAAATATTGAAATTTTTTTGTGTAGAATTTTTTTATCCAATGAGAATTCAAAATATGAAACTACCGGCAGTTTGACTAAAAAATGGCCGAATTCTTAAAAAAATCGGTATTTGTGAGATTCCGTCATATGAGGACTTCCTCTAAAAGTGGGGCAATATTGATAATGTTTGCAATAAATATTTGGCATCTAATGAGATTCCGTAATGGAGCCAATTCGGTTGAAAATACCTATTCAAAATATAAAAATTTGGGAGATACCGTTATGGGTTCTATAAAAACGTGGGCGAGAAGATCCTCTGTAATATTAGTAATATAGTTGGTATCAAATCATGTGTATATAACGTAAACACCAAACACTGTTAAATCGAAAAATGCGGCTGGAACCTTCAAAATATCAATAATGGGCGGGACTGTTATATGGAACCTGATTCAAACATACATCAATATTGGAAGTACTCTGCAAGGAGAAGCCACTTCTATTGTATAAAGCAGCTGGGGAATTAAAATACTTCAAATCGCTTGGAATTCATAGATGGGGCTAGAAGGTTCGATCATTCTATTTAATTTCCCTATTATTACCTAAAATATGACCACATGATAAATGGGTAATATTTCATCGTTAGAATCTATAATATGTCAATCCATCGAACGTCTAACAAAAACATATTTAAAACTACGGACCAAGAGAGTAGATCATAACATTTTTTTTCTTTTGTTTTGTAATTTGTTTTTCCTTTACAAATGTGTAGTTTTATTCTTCTATAATGAAATACATTTTTCACAACTTAAAAAAATCACACAACTAAATTAAAATATGTAGTTATCAGTTTTCATAATAAAAAAAGTGGAGATACACATTAAAATTATGTGTAAAGCCTAATAGTTTGATCTGCACCAGTAGAGAATATCCAGGGCTGTACTGGATGCCAGCACACATCTAAAACACCAAATTCTTCTACCTTTTCGTGAGTTTGTAGCTTCTTCAGAGGTACAATCAAGGGATTTTGAAGTAAATCACTAAACAATAACAAAAGTTAATAAATACCTAATATCAAATAAATATTTAAATGAACTTACTTATACACCATGCCATGTGAAACAATAACCGATTGATCATCACTGGCCGAGGCAAATAGAGGATAACGCAAATGGAAGGCCACACTACGCACAGCATTCTTATGAAGACGCATTGTTTGGTATGGTTTCGTCGAAAGATCCAAATCAAACCACAATATTTTCTTGTCATAGGTTGAGACTAATAAATTATCACCTTTAGGATGTATGGACATGCCAGAAATCCATTTGGAGTTGGTAAGCAATTTCTTGATGAGTTCTTGTTTAACCAAATCATAGATGCGGACATTGTGTTGGGTCTGAAAAACAAAGAAATTTAACATATTAAATATAAATCTTCAAAGTAGTGTTTTATAATTAACTTACCGCCACAAATAGACATGGTTTAATCGGATGGAACAATACACACTGGATAAGACCCTTACTCTTGGCGAATGGTATTTGTGATCGACGTTTAGAAAGTTGATGGATGATGGCTGAACGATTGGCACCCTCGGGCATTACACTGGCAATGTAATCACCACGACCATGCCAAGTGACCTGACGAATTGGTTTGAAGTGTGTAATAACCAAACGGACACCCTTCTCCTGTTCTGCTGCGTCAGCGGTAGCCCATTGGACAGCTGTCTTGATACGATCACTTTCCAAGCTATCGATTTGTGGAGCTTCAGCTAATAAATCATCAGTTTTCTTGACCAACATTTTATCACCAACTTTGGGATTTATTAGCAATAGACGATTGCCCGAGGCAACAGCAATAATGGCCAGTTTAGGATTGGGACACCATGCGACACAACGGACAACATCATCGGTTTCAATGGTGCGTATACAACGACCAGTGGCAATTTCCCAAACTAAAAACATTTCAAACAATTAAAATTTAATTTTGATTATTTAAAATGAATGAAAAACCTACTTTTAACTGTCTTATCATCGGAACCAGATACCATATATTCTCCTTTGGGTTCCACACTGACGGAACGCACCAAATCTGTATGGCCCTTGTAAACCAAACTTTCAACTGTGGGGAACGGCTGTAGATCCTTGGGTGATGGTAATTTGGGTATCAAATATTCAGCATCAATGTTTAGCTTGACACGTCTTGTTCTGGGACACAAATACAGATCCAAACAACGCAAGAAACGTTCACGCAAATAACGTGGATAAGCTGGTACCTCACGCAGTGAACGATATTTCTGTGGCATAAAATGAAGTTTACGCTTGTGAGGTTCATCTTTCAGTTTCAACCATTCTTTCTGTTCCTTTTCGTCGAACAAATACTCAGGTGGTGGATTGTACGATTCTGCATGGCCAGGCAAATCACGTTTAGGTGCCGAAACTGGATCATGTATACGTCTCATCTGTTCACGACTTGTATCAGTTTCCCACAGCATGTAGAATTTGGGTCCACGTTTAGCTTGTTTTTCCTTTTCCAACTCGTCCATGGTCTTCATCCAACCCATTTTAAGGGCATGTACCATACGACCAATTTTCTTCTTCTCAGACACGGATGGAAGGAAAGATCTTTTGTGGTCGGGTACATTTTTAATGGGCATTTTCTCAACTTCCGAGGTGAACCATTCAATCCATGGCTCATATTCGTTGTGTTCAGGATTTGGAATACGTGAGGAGTTTATACGTTTAATCAATTCAATATCGGCATCGGTTAGTACCACTTCTTGTCCTGTCTGTGGATCCTTAACAGTTCTCCAGAAGTTAGGATCTTCAATTTTACGCAAGAAGTCATCGATTTGATCACCCTTTGGAGGTTTAATGATTTTCTTGGCATCCCAATCGTAGCCAATGTGTTTGTACTCATCGTACCAATGCATAGGTATGTTGCCCACAGTGTTCCTAATATCTTCTTCATCGGATGTATCGGAATTTTCATACTCATTGTATTGTTTTACTGAACTATCGGAAGTTTTGCTTCCTTTTTTGTTTTTCTCAGATTTGTTTAGCTCATTATTGAAATCCTCCAAAGCTTTAGCGGGATTGGCAGGTTTTGAATTGACAGCTTTAGGTTTCTTTTCTTTCTTTTGGACAATTGGTTCTTTGTCATTGTTGTCTTTAGCTTTTTCTTTTAGAGTTTGTACTTCATCTTCACTATCCTCCTCTTCAGCATCATCGTCATCCTCATCATCTGCATCTTCCTCCTCTTCTTCGCCAGATATATCCTCAATATCTGCCTCATCTATGCTATCTTCATCATCATCGTCGTCCTCGTCTCCACTTTCCTCCTCCCCATCATCTTCACCAGCCTCTTTGGCTTTGATTCCCGTGAAGTTACCATCATCATCACTTTCAAATTCCAAGACACTATCGTCTGAATGATAATTCTGTTCTATACCCTCATCATCGGTGCTGTCACCATCAGCCTCATTGACTTTCTGTAATAAATCCTCCTGCAAAGTAGAGAAAACACATTTTATGGGAGCTGTTGAATTCAATCCCCCTATAAGAAACTTACATCCTCTTCTTCGCTGCTGTCTTCAGCTTCTTCACTTAATTCCTCCTTGGATTTCACAACAATTTCCTTTTTCTCTTCTGCGGCTTTTCTTTTTGTTGTTTTCTTTGCCATCTTTATTGTTCTTATAAATTATTGAGGAAAATTCTATACTTTTTTAACCGATATATATACGAAATATTTGGAATAAACACACCGCACGTGTTGTCAGAAGGAGTAGGGGTTTAAACGTCGACTATGTTGTTATCGAAAATCGATTGTAATTAATTCTGCTGCGAGTGGTCATCGGACAATCGAATTTTTGACAAACAACACAACTGCTTTGTTCCAGAATTCGCAAGAATCTACAACAGAACTTCTGAAAGGGATTTGATCCAATGAAATATGGGCTCATTTTTGTTTTAGAAATTTGTATACTTATAAAAACAAATAATGAAATTACTTTTTTTTAGGACTTGACTACACAGCCCAGTGCTGCAAAACAACCTCTATGTCGTATCGTTGATATTTCAACGCAGTCAACTTTGGCTAGCTGTAACGTAGTGTTACCAATTCTTAATTTGATATCAAAAAGAAAGAAAAACTTTTAAATTATTTTTACATTTTATGTTAGGAATATTTTATTTGTTTCTATTGAATTTTCAAAATGTTTTGTACCACCCAATAAAGAAAACTAACTTATTATACAATATTTTTAAAATATTCATTGGCCCCCGTAAACTTTTATTCGCGGCAATAAAAAAATCTCAATATTAATAATTAAAATACTGATATTAATTGTATAAATTCGAATTTTTCACAATCGAATAGTATAGAGAGAAGTTATGGTAACTTTTATATGATTTAATTCATTTTATTTTACAGATGTCTTTGAATTAATGTAACGTTGTTTCTAAATAAAAATAAAGACAGTTGTACAATTACATTTTAATGGTTTTATTTTATTTAATTTTTTGTAAAATTTTATAACAAAGAAATGTACTTAAAATAAATTATTTTATTTAACTTTACAAAAAACTAGAAATGTTTTGGTGAAAAAAATATTTAAGACTTCAAAATTGTCCTCTACAAGTGTGCTGTTGTCTATAAATGTTTAGATACATATATCTAAATTAGGATAAATAGATCAAATATTAAACAATTTATTTGTAAGGAGAGACGTTTAACGTAGCCCAAGGCTTTAAAATATCGTATAAAATATTCTTAATGTTGTTGTTGTTGTCTTATGAAGAAAACCAAATGGCATTTTAATAAGAAAAAATTCACAGATTTTATAAATTCCCCTTCGTTTTTTCCCGGGATACATGAACTCTAGGATAATGAATTGATCAATTAATTTAAAATAATAAATAAAATATTGTTGTCATTATTGTCTTAAAACTATTCAGTATTTTATCAATAGAAAAATTCAATAGTTTAAATGAAAACTATTTTGTAAACCGTAAAATGCTAAACAGCCATTCATACAAAGTGTTGTTGTTGGTGTTGTTGTTGCTGTTGGTGCTATCTGTATGCTTTTTTGTATGTACGAGTATATGTATTTGGCGTGGTGAAGATGATTCTGTATATTCTCATATTAAAATGATTTAATTATCTGCCCATAATTGTCATTTCATCTGCTGCTGCAATTTCATCGGTTGGTGCTTTGGAGCCCTTCTTCTTGCCCGAATACCATATGAACAAGAAACCAGATACTAGATTAACACCAAATGTAAACCAGGCAAAGAATACACCGTAACCATAACTGTAAATGAAAAATATATTTTTTTATTATTTTTGTTTCAGAACAAAGAAAATCGACAACGACTCACGTTAATTCAGCACCATCTGGATAACTGTAGAACAAATGTTCTTTTGTATAGTCAACAGAGGCAAATAAAACTTGCAACACAACCATAGCGGTAGATGCTGCCACCAAATCAATACCACCAGCCAAACGTTTAAACATATAACGTGGATTTTGAAATGTATAAAATGAGAATACGGAACCCAATATCATTACAAAGACTGTTATGCAGGCAAATGAGGCTTGTGAGCGAATGTAATCTGAAAATATAAAATAATAATTAGTTGAAATGAATCTTTAGGTTTTCGTATCTGAGTAGTTTTCAAGGATTTTAGACTCTTCAATAGACATTTCAAAGATAAACACAAATCATTGTACAAGTAGTGGAGAACATTTAATAAGATAAGTAAAATAAGAAATATTTGTCAGAGGTCCCATAAATTATATATTCTTGAACAGAATAAACTTGTATTGTAAAAGAATAAACTTGTATTGTATTAGAAAAATGTATTTAATAGTTGTGACTATATTAATGTTCTGTTGTTGTTGTTTTTTTTTTCAGTGGAATAAAATGCTCATGGGAATTGGGTAATATTTTGACATAGCCTTCATATCAGAGTCCCCAATGTATTCAAAATATATTAGAATGCGCACCTCATGGTGGAATGTATAAAAAATTCGGTCCGTCCAAACTTAACAAAGTTCGATTTTATACTTCTTACACTTACCCATCAAAGTCCAATCAAAACCGGGATCCATGCGTTCTCCAGCACTAGGGAACATATCAATATATTTACAGCGGCCTTAAATATGAAAAAAAGTCAACAATATTTAAAAAATATTTTTACGAAGGCATCAGAAACAAATTCTACTTACTATTCACTTCATATTTGTAATATTTCGTTTGTTTGCCATTTTTGGGTGGCTTCGGCGGCACCAATTGCAATATCACATGTTCATCATCTAACACATATGCCGGTAGACCCAATTCTTTTGCATATGGCCAAAACAAACGCGGTACATAGGCCCGCTCATTCCAACCCTTAAACATGGCCATTTGTGCCGTTTCAGGTATAACAAAATAATAATTCGTTGCATTCACCACAACCGTTTGTAGAGCCTTGCCGAATATATTCTTACTTATTATACCCTTTACATCGACGGGATCAATAATTCGTGGTTTTGCATCAATGGCTATTAGTTCATCGCGAGCTTCTTTGGTTGACAATACCAAACGATAAAATTCATCTTTAAATTTATTAAAGGAAGCACGATCATCCAGCACCCAATGAGCGAACATACGCTGTCTGGCTTCTTCTGTGAAATTTTCCAATGGAAAATGGACCTCCGCCTTGCTATATTCGCTAATGAAATCCAAGCGGGAACAGTTCCTTTGAGCTTCACGTATTGTTGTGGGATTTTGTATGGCGAAAGAGGTGAAATTTCGTACAACATCGGCATCTTTAAGGGGTGAGGGTATAACAGTGTTACGGCAAAATCTCCATAAACCTGAATGGGAGGACATAAAGAAGCGTCTGGTTTCGGGTATGAAAATGCCTGCAAAGCAAGAAATAAATGTTGGAAGTGATCATGTAAGTTACAAATACATACAAATAAACTAAGTAATTTAAAGTATATATCTTGGGAGTTAGTTACAAAATAAGTCATGATTGCATATAGAGAAGATGAGTCATGCAAATTTTACTTTTTCATACTGGAATGAATCGACTCTAGGGCGTTAGTCGTCCTCCCATTGTTTTAATATTTATATTCACAAAAGAAATCATTTCTTATTAATATTATTTATTGCAATTGTTTTGATTAAGTGACGCCCACAACAACAAAAATCTACGGTTGACAGAAAAAGGCCTTCAACAAACTCTGCTGCCATTGAACTCTCAGGTATCTAATTAATGGCCTGACCACCGCCATTATGCCTTTATATTAAAGAAACAAAAAAAATAAATATATGTACATATGTCCCATGCGCATTTCAATACGCTTTTAAATAATATGTATGTATGTAGGGTGATTTCGTATGGTTTAAGAAAATGCACAGCGCGATCAATGCGATCCATTTAAACTGTCAAAAATTATTTTGACTTTAATGTCGAATATTGTCAACAAGTACATTTGTTTGTTGATTGTCTAAACATTACAGAAAAAAGTATATTGAATAAATATGCAGATGGATCGAATGTATATATATAGTATATAGAGAATATTTTCCTGTTTATTGACATTTTTGTGTAAAATAATTAAACAGGGAATTTGTACTAATATTTTGTTATAGAAATATGTTTTTGTTGGACGCAACAAAGATACAGTAAACGGAGTGGATTATGGCTAATGCACTAAAAAGCAGAAAGGGGAAAAATAATTCTTATTTTGAAGAAATTGTTTATTTGAATAAAGGCTATTTTTATATCGTAACCTATACATAATTCCAAGACATAAGGTTTAGAGGTAATTAATGTTTTTCTCAGGGGGATTACTTTGTCATTGATGAAAAATAAAGGGGTAATTTTTGATTAGACCTCTTATATGGAGCTTCGTATAATCTCAGTGTTATTTTTTTATTAATATGACCCTATTAATTTACTAATCTGTATATTAATCAGTATTTTTATTGGGTATAAAAGGTCGGTCTTGCCGAACTTAATGCCATTTTTCACTTCTTTTGTTTTATTTTTTCAATCTATTAATGGAAATTCCTAAGTCGTTTAATATCATGATGAACATATATAACAATATATGTATGCACAAACATATGCATCATGCATATGTATGTATATATTTCTTTTGCGAATTATATTAATGACAACGCAAAACACAAAGAAATATTAAAAATGTCATCAATTTGAATACAAAGTGCATGATTTACAAAGCCAAATAGACATAAATGGAAAGCGGTGATTTTGTCGTTATTACAAATTGGCCGCCATGTTCATGATTCCAGAAAACCCATAAAAATACTGTGAACAAAGGAAGACATTATGGCAAATAATGCAACACTCATGTTCAGTGGTGGCGATGGGTCTTTATGTGAGTGTCGGCATTACTTTCGTTAGAAATATTTTGCTTCTTCTAGCATTAGGGAAATTGTGATGTTGTTAGGAATATCTTTGGGAATTTCATGTGTTTTAATATATGTATTTTGGAATACATTTTGTAATTATATTAAATATTTTATTCTGCATAACAATTATTAACATCTAACAAACAAATTATTTGGAATTAGGCGAACTTAAATCGAGACATTTTAAAAAATTGATCAATTGAGGAACTGAATCTAAGAAATCACAATTTCAATGAATTTTCTTTTGCAGGCAGGCCCTTAGGGGATTTCGAATATTTCTTTTTTGTATATTGAAAAAAATTATAATACTTACCACCAGATCCCGATATAATAATCCAATGATCTGTAGCAATGGCGATAATCCAGGTGAGCAGCGATAATACCATTAAACAACTGCAGCAAAATAACACACGACGCTGGAACATATAGGCCTTTAGCAAAGGTTTGCGGGATTCTTCTTGACCTATATTCGAGGCTCCCGACACCTCACGTTTTGGTACCATAGTCGGCTTCATTATGGTCTCATATGTTGTTTAACTTTTTTCGGGAACACACACGCATGCACACACATACAAAAAAGGAAATAAAAAGAATAATGATAATTGAAATGACATTTTAACGGAAGCAAGCAAGGGTGTTGGGTGTTGGGTGTGATTGTGCTGGGTGTTGATTGTTCGCGCCAAGTTGATAGTGTCCGACAGAACAAAAAAGAAGAACTTAATGTTTTCCTTGCTGGTCATTTACAATAATTGAATAGCACATAATGACAGACAGAATGTCATGAGGAAAACATGATGTTAAAAAATGTTGGCTGACCACTCGAATGCCAATTTTATTTTTGTTGGTAATTTTTACAATAAGTTCTTAGCCCTAACAGCAGACATAGCTATTAACAGTAGTGAATTTTAGTTTTTTGTTTGCTTTTCTTTTCTTATTTTAAACAATGAACATTCATGTAGTACGTATAGACAAACGGACAGACAGTCGGTGGGGTTGTGTGTTAGCAATTCGCCAAAAAGACAAATTTTCATATCTTGTATTTTAATTTATTTAATTCATTTGTTTTGTTTGATTTTTTTTCTTCATGACGATTTTTCGCTGGGTGGGCTCTGAGATTTCGAGGGAATTGTTATAAATATCTATCGATATGTTTATTTGCTTTTGCACCATCTTTACAAAATACCCTACATCAAGACATCTTCGCAATAATGTAATATGATATTACGATTTGGAAATAGGAGAATGTTGATTCCAATATTTCGATTTATTTCGACAACAATACAAATTTTGTATGACCTTGTCGGGCTAAATGTCGTCGATTTTTGCTTATATTTTTCTATTAAACCATAACGAACCTAATCCCGGTGAAACAATAATTAAGATCACATAAATTCTAATATATTTGACGTGAAGTTGTCTTCCAGTAGCATAAGTTATTTTTATTTTCAAAATCTTAAAATAGAGTATTTGAGGGACGTAGATGGATGTGGCCGACTTTGCGATACGGTATCCTATGTATGTACCTCTAAATAATTTCTTGTTATTGGCGCATAAGGCCTATGCAAGTTAGATCTATGCAATTGCAATATATGATTTAAGCAGGGTTAACGCTTGGCAGGCCTGATGATCTCCGAATCACGATAATATTTCCTGAAGTGATTTTACAAAGAATGTGTGATTTTTTTTGTTGTAATAACTAAATGCTTTGCTATCGATAGGCCTACTGGTGTGTTGTTTCTCACTTGTTCCGAGGGACCTCTCCCTCTTTTCCATCGTAAGTATCTCTCCGTATATGCCTGGGAGAGGGTGGCGAACCACACTGGCTTACCACCGACAGAACTATTGTGTTGTAAGAGATTTACAAAGATTCTTTATCAGCATCCTAAGAGCTGCCGGCAAGCCACTTGAGGATCTTCTTCCTACTTCTAATATTGTTGCAAGCGAACATCAACACTTTGTGGTCAGAATCTGCTGTACAGATATTTAACCTTTCACATATGTCATCGATATTAGAACCCGACGCCATGATCGTATAATTATACCCATATATTACGATCTCTATGTCATCTGGTGGTTGTGGAATTTTAAACAGTTCCGGAAAAGTGGTCCTCCTTGGTGAACTATTTGTTTATCTCCAGTCGTACTCCTTCAGTAGCCACCAAACTATATATTATTTTGATGACGGTTGTAAGTGGTCTATCGCAGTCATAAGGAGGCAGTCCACAGGTTTTTTTCATTGCGTATGACCGAGAATTGAGAGATCAGATTTGAATTAAGAATTTTAAAATTCTTATTGGAAAAATATCATTAGTAAACGAATTGAAAGTCCCCTATTTCAATTCGATTATATTTGTTTGGAGTTTTAGTATTAAAAATTTCCTTACACAATCAAAATTTAATCTATTGGATTTAAATTTGTTTTTAATTAAATCGAAACACTTATTTTGTAAATCAACTGCCGCGGATCTTGAGTATTATTTACTGGAAAAATAAACGAGGGAATCTATTTTTTACTTCCAAAACAATGAAAAACATAAAAAATAAAACATATTGTAGGGTATCACATAGTCGTCGTCTCTTATTATTTAGATTGGTATCTATTTTGTTTGTTTTTTTTCTAGTTTCAAATTCATTGTTCTAATGTGCTTTAATTCATTTTTATTTGGCATGTTGTTCTGAATTTAACAACAAAAAATTGTCTACGAAACTGACAAAAACTGCCAATACCATGATATTTTTATTTCAGCCAAAATCCACGCGGTTTGTCGCCTTAAAGAACCAACGTTCGTTCGCAAACACTTTTGAAAATTTCGAAAAAAAAAACAAACACAAAATAAAGAATTTGAAAATTCACATATTTTGAAATAGCTGTCAAACAGTTTGAGCATATCGTGGAACACCATTTTTTTGCGATCATAAATTTTAAGTTTTGAACAGAAACATTTCCTTAATGAAATTTTTTAGATTTTAAAGTTGTTTTTCATAATAATTATCATTTTTTTTATATTTAAATTGCTTGTTAAATTTTCTTATACTTTGGTTAATTATTATTAAAATTTGTTCCGCATATAATTTTTTACACTAGAATTATTGTGATGATTTCTCATTGTTGTCTTCGTTATATTCAACACAATGATTTATTAAAACTTTTGAGATTTCGTAGTATTTTTATGAGTTTTTGAGACCCAGACAACCCGACACAAATTGACACAAAACTATTAAAATTATGCAATATATTTAAAAACACTTTTTAATGTTATTGTTGTTATTATTCTTGATGATTTTACTAACTTCCAAAACAATGACAAAAAGTTTTTTTTTTCAATTTCGTGATTAATTTCTTTTATAGGATTTAATTTCGTGTATTCATTTCATGTAGTATGTATATGGGTATATTTTCTATATTATTTGTCTCAGATCCACATTCCGCTCGACACGGGCACTTTTTTTCTTAAATTCAATTCTTTTGTCTTTTCGATATCATGTTGTCAAAAGACTTTTTACACTCACTCACGTTCTGTTCTGCTTTACTATTCGAAGACGTCGCCTAACCAATTGCTACTGAATGTTAGGCCACTGTCAGACAATCCAATAGGCTAGAAAACCCCCAGCAGCACCAGCATCAGTTAGGTGTATGAAATATTTTCAGATCAGTTCAGTTTTTCTTATTTTTGTTTTCTTTTTGGGGAGAGATTTTCAGCATTTTAGCCACTCGCCAAAGTAATATCTGCAAAACATACAGACACACACGTGAACACATTTATTTAGAATATAATTTAAACTCACACCGAAAAAAATATTTGCCAGATTAAATGTAGCAGGAAGAACATTTAAATTGTATACAAAAAATTACAATGAAAATTAATTATTATTTTCCGCTAATTTTTGAATAATACTAATAATTGGTAGAAAATTTATTGAGAACAAAAATTGATTACTGTTTATTAATTCGAAGTTTGATTGAATGTTGTGCAGAAAATGAAATGAATGATGATAGACTTTATTAAATGGTATTCAATTTTAAACTTATAGTACGTTTACATTGTACCTACGATCCATAACCAGGTACCCGGGTACTTTTTTACATTACAATGCTGCTATTCCTTTATTTTAGAAGATGTCAACATTAAATTGGAAGACTTGAAATTTTTTTATCAAGTTTGGTTAAATATATTAACCAAAAATGAGTTTTGATTTTTTGACGGGATTCCATGACCAGGCACAAGGGTACCTCACCTTTTATTTCAAAGAAAAAGCTTTTTTTAATTTTTATTTTGTTTCAAAATGTTTATTCATGTGTAAGAAATAACTGCAGTTGTTTTTTAGTTAAATTATCTACATTTTATTCATTTTATATTCATTCTTTTTTCTCTTGTTGTCTGGTAAAGTAGCGCACAAATAGCAGCATCCTATTATAGGCTTCCTGTCATCAGTAGAAGCAGGTATATTGTACCGTCTCTACTGGCCTTCCCCAAAAAACTCTCATTTTGATTTGTTGAAAAAATTGAGCGTTATTTGACGCACACACTAATCTCCAGCAAGTTTACCCAATTTTTTTTTTCTTCTTGTTCTTTGATATGGAACAGTTCTGTTGTACTTATAAATGGCACTAATATCGAGCATATTGTAAAAAAATACAAAGCCCAGCTTTTTGTGTGTCTATGTGGTATACTCACGAAGCGCCTGGTCCATAACATCCACGCCACCTATTGTTCTGTTGAAAAAATTTATGATTTCTGGTTTGCCGTTTGGATTTACAGCTGGATCATCATGCATTGTCGACAACAATTTGACGGAATTTGTTTTCCACTGTTTATAAGAAACTATAGTAACATTCTCTTGGAAATCAAATTTTCTCGTCCCAACGATCCAACTCTTATCGACTCTTATTTCTGTTGGTATATAGGCTTATTATAGTACGTTTACATTTAACCGGATTTCGTTAACCCAGTGGGTTTCAATTGTCAATTCCTTTGCATATATGTCAAATAAATCCTCATAAAGAAGGTTAACCCCTGTAAAAAGTTCTAATGTGCATGTCATTTTATAGGAAAAGGGTATCCTAAGGGGAAATTGCAGAAGGTTGAACTTTTTTATGAGGAATAAAACCATCCTCCAAAGCTAAATACCGTGTTGTCTTCAAAAAGTTGTCTAATTGTAGAAACAATGTGGAGATAGGTAGAAGAAGAAGAAAACAATATCTAAAGAGGAAACAATTGAAGCTGAACTGAAGTCTGCAGCGGAAAATCCGAAGATCCGAAATTTGGTTGTTTTCTTCTCAATCTATGTGCAGAATAAGTATAGCTCTATCTTAAATATCCGTATACAATCGTGACTGAAGGGCGTTTCTAAAAAGCAATAGAATTTTATTCTGAAAAGATGTACTTTATGGGTATCTGACATACAAGTTTGGTTGCTTGGATAAATTCCCAACATACAACTGAGTATTTATAAAAACGTAGTCAATTATTTCCCGCCGACTTACTAGAGGTCCCATTTTACTAAATTACTTAGCTGGTATGTTACAGAACGCTTGTTCCATAAGCCGAGCTTAAAAAAAGATTTCCAAGCGAGTCGGTCTTCTGCGTATCTCCTCCAATTTCAATGGCCATGCTCCGAGATGTTGTCTTATACTTGGTATTTCCACCTAATTCGTGGCTTTCCCCTTCTGCGTGAATCATCAGTAGGTTTGTTTTTAGATGCCTTTTGAGCTGGGGCATTCTCATTCATTCACACAATATGACGTAGCCACCGAAGTCGCTGCAGCTAGATAAGACTGGCTGTGTTGATGTCCGCGTATAGATTGTAAAGCTCGTGGTTCATTCAACGTCGATATTCACCGTCGACACAGATCTTCTCGTAGATGTTTCGGAGAATTTTTCTCTCAAATGCCCCAAGAGCTGCCTCATCTGTTTGCGCTAGAACCCATGCTTCAGATCCATATAACAGCACGGATAGTATACGCGTCTTGTAAAGTGTGAGTTTGGTCTGGCGGGAGGTGGTCTTGTTTCTAAACTGCTTATTTAGATCAAAGTAGCATCTGTTGGTCATCCTTCTCTGAATTTCAAAACTGATGTCATTAGTTTTATTTATGGCGGTACCAAGGTGTATACCTTTAAATCTTTAACTATCACGAAGCTGTAGTTCTCAAGTTCCACAGTTGGTCCGAGTCTACTGGACGTCTTGCGCGTTGATACCATCAGCTTGGTCTTCTCGCCATTTACTGCCAGACTATATTACTAACAAGAACAGTTTAAAAATGGGTTAGCGATTATTTTTCCATTACTTTAGTATTTCCATTCACACTTTTCATTTTCAAATTAACAGACTAATTTTTCCTTGTGTATATAGCATTCACGTTCTCCCCTAACAAAAAGAATCAAAACAATGAATGATAATCTCTCCCCCATTACTATTCTCAATAATGTAAATGTTGGGGTATACCAACCGCCAAGAGCGTAAATCAAATGATGCATCTCTATCTCTTTTAATGTTCTTGCTGCTTGCCCACCAAAAGATGCTCTTGGTTGGTTGCTTGGGTCTGGCGTTGGTGTGTTTGCAAGACGTCATTGTTTTATGAGCCAAAGGAAGGATAATCGTGCAAATCATTCATTCACATTGCTCGGGTGGATCAACATAAACAACGAGATTAAAATAAATATACATATGAACAGAACAACAACAATAAAAAGAAATTCCAAACATTCGTATATGAGTGTGTGTGTGTAGAATGTTTATTTTTCCTTTAGACATTTGTTGTTTCTTGATCCGTTTGCCATAAAAAAGAGAAGAAATCATGTGTTTGTTGTGTACAAAAAATGTTCAGCCAAAACTTTCGTTGTTATTTCTGTTCACTCTTCTCGCCCAAAACACGCACAGCAGGTGTCACTACAGTGTTTGTTTCTTATTTTATAAATAAAACTGACATATAAAACTTTCAAATAAAAATTTTACACACAGATTTTTTGTCGCTTTCTATAACAGGTAAATCTGAATTTCTTTGTATCTGACATTGTGTTTACATCAGAACAGAACGAACAAAAACAAGATCAGAGATCTATAAAAATTTAGCAAAGCTATTTGTTATTGCTAGCTGGCAATTGTTTTTTTTTTCAGAAATTTGTGTTGGACATGTGTCAGAAAGATGTGCGAATTTGGGATTTTTTCTTTCTAATATTTTCCTCATTCACATTGGCTTGGCGTATTTGTCGTCTCGGGGCGCTTGTTATCTTTTATAGGTGGGCGTTGTTAATATGGAATGCTAATGTGCCTTTATTTATAACAATTAACAAAAAATGACCAAAATTTCCAATTAGTATTAATACAATGATGATCATGATCGTATACATACAAAAAAAAAAAAACATATAGTATATGGACTTATAGACGGTAAAAAGTGCGAGTTAATAATTACACTATGTAACAAAAATTAATATGTATATGTTAATATACATAAGATTATTAACAAATATTTGTTTTTAAACTAATTTACAATACTCACTACCAAAACCTACTATTAAGTGACGAACATTTTAAAAATTATTTTTCCGGTGTGAATAAAACAAATCATTTAAAACAGTCAATCAAAATTAAAAACCAGTAAAAAGTTATTAAGTTTGGACGGGGCAAACTTCTTATATCTTCCACCATGAAGTGGATATTCAAAATACTTATAATTGATCGGACATTTTTTGACAACAGGATTTGACATCCATTAAGAACCTAAAATATCAAATTGAAAAATAAAACTTTTTGGCATGGAGATTTTCTACCCGGTGAGCATTCTAAATCATAGCAAAATACGGGATAAACAGTTACCTTAAAAAGTGGACCAATTTTTATAATTTTTGGTACAACGACTTTCTATCTAATGAGAATCTTACATTCTAAAATAAAATAAAATGTAAAATTTCCGAATATTTGGGTATATCGTTATATACCGTTAGAACTATAATGAGCTTTTTTCCTTATCCCTTTTGAAATATTTGGACGCTTGCATTGCGTTGCTCACATAGGGTCGTCGAAGTATACCAAGCAGGATCCTCTAATTATATTTTAATTTAATAAAAAACAATAAGTTTATATTTCGACATAATTCACCAAAAGATTTATTGGATGATCAATTCCAGATAAATTCAATAGAAATTTATTTTATCTACCGATCTTGTTCCACGTACTTCCATACATAATTTTCAAGTTTGAAGACGACAAAAATGCGTCGGATACTTTTGTATTGACAATTTCAACAGAAACTCCATTTATAGGATGAATAAGGGTTCAAGTGGATTTTAATAAGAGATAAGATGGCAATACTTATCACCAAAAGAAAATGCCTGACCCTATCTTCTGGAAGGATATTTTTTCATTATTCAAATAATAGCATTGAAATCCAGAAAACTATACATACGTTGTATTGTTTTCCAACTAATAATCCTTACAACCCCCACAAACCGTAACAAGACAAACCATAAAAAACACATTTTACACGATGCAAATCGTTCGATCTTATTTACAAAGTGTTTGCTAATTTTTCATTTCAACTCACCTTTTAGCGGTGTCGGCACCCAAACAACCAATCTCACGTAATTTGCATATGCTGTATGGCAGCCTGCCGGCATGGTCTGGCCTGGCCGCACATTTGAAAATCCAACTAAAAATAAAATTAATTGAGTATCATTGCATTGAATGATCTTCTACAAATAAGTGATTCAATCCGCACAATTCATTCATTCTCCGCTAAAATTTTCGAAGATTTTTTTTTTTTTGCAAATTTTGAACGAGATCAATGATGGCGGTTGGGCTGGGTGGTGGTTGTTGGACAAGAAGAAATACGAAATCAAAAAACCAACCACTTGTTGGCCGACTGGTTGGCTGGCTAGTTGTTGCTGATGTTTAATCACCACAGAAAAAGCACATCGCAAGTGGTAACATAAATTCAATGGTCGCTCTTGTTGTTTTCATTTAAAGTGTATGTGGATTTATTTTTTTATTTTCGTTTATGTTTTGAAACAAACAAAATCAAAATCGGGGCTGTCTCGTCTGTTTCACTTGAATACTTGTGGCTTGTTGAATTGCTTGCCAAAATTTATTAAAATATTAAATTGCCATAGCTTTGTAATTAAATCACAAAATTGAATATTCATGCTGAAATGGCGTTCAATATGAAATAAATCAACGTATCGAAAACAAACAAAAAAAGTGAAAATACAAATTTTTTTTATATTGGAACACTTTGGCAGGGGAGTGTGATTAAAAATGCGTGGGAAGACGCCCATTATTCTTATGTTTTTTTTTTTTTCAATAAACAATTTTCAGTAAAATAAAAAAATTATATATTCATTTTATTTGGCATAATATGTCATTAAGATACATTCTTAAATGTTTTGTCACAAAATTAATATGGAGCAGTGACACAGGAATCTATAAGATGGAGGCTGCCATATTTAGGAAATATGGATATAAATCATAATTTTTTATATTTTTTTAAACGTATACACTTGACATGTGGTCTGTTGAATATTTTTGTTTTAGCTAAAAACAATAGTGGTGATATTTTGGGTTTAGGCACAAAACAAACGTGCTAGGTATCGAGGGAAACAATTAGCATTAATCATTCAACAGCTGCTGAAAAACATTATAGTTTGGATATAATATGTCAAGATCTCAAACGTGTCAATATGTCATAATTAACAAATATATATATATATATATATATATTGATCCAGTTAATAAATTATTGCCGACTGCTAAATAAATAATTTTTTTGCATTGGCCAATTATTCAACTTCAATACAAAATAATTTAAACAAGTAAAAAACATGCTGCCGACAGAAATATACCACTTTTTGATATTGCGGTCGTCATATCCTGACTATATGAATCGATCAAGGTAAGTGTAAGTTCCATTATAACTTGTAATTAAGCCGCAGTTTGGGACCAATTTTTCGGTTTTCTCTAGTATCTTTAGAAGTCATTATTATATTATATTATTAGTCCCATCTTCGAACTTGGCCTAAGCTTGGTTAAAATAAAACGATGTGCAAAGTTTGGATGGACTTGGATATTCCGTTTGCTTCGAGTTCAAAATATTTACACATTGTGGGGGAGGTACTAAAAGGACTGGGTCAATTTAAACATTAGGTTGTGTAAATCGGATAGTCCCTCTCATGATGTTATATAATGCATTTTCGACAAAATTTTGACTATTTTTTGGGGGAGTGCCAAAAAGGAGCGGAACTATATTCAACTTCTTCGAACTTTTTTTTATTTTTACCCTTATACTGGTATAGATACATACTCTATATCAGTTCCACTTTTATACAGTTCGACATTTAACCTCACTTGTCCTTCTATTACGCAACGAATCGAAATCATCCTTGAACCAATGTTCGTCAGCACTTTCGCTGTAATTTTTTGATTTTATTATTATAGCCTTCGAATAAAATATTGTGTAACTTACCCTTCATCAGTTTCGCTTTTATACACCTCGAAGTTTAATCTCACAAATGATCCAATGGATAGAAATCATCCTTATGTCGGTATTCACCTCCTCTGCTGTTTTTTACATATGTCCACAGCTGGGCAGATGTATCTGCATATATGTTCCAACATGTTTTAGATGATCACTATTATATATAAGATATCAGAAGTGGAATCTAATGAAGTTTAGCACATATATTTGCCACAAATTTCAAATTATTATTGAATTGAAGAAAAAAATTATGAACAATTGATAAAAGCTCAAGCAACCTACTTTCAGTTATAATCAGCAGGGTGATTCAGATAGTCATAAAAGTGCCGAATTAGAATCGCCAATTCATTTTACCAAGATTTTGTGATACCCGTACTATTTTAATATTGAATAGATGTCAACTTCTCAATTTCAACAAGTGGTTAAATGTTCAAATTGATAAAATTTGAAAACAATTTCGATTAAGAAAATATGTAAAATATATTAAGCGCCCCATACACTATAAATCATGCCGTCATGCCGATGAACCCCTTTGCGTATATGTGAGATTGACTAGTGTATGGCAAACTCTTCAATCACTATTCAAAAAAATCGATAAATTCAGTTGTTTTTTATTCCCTCACAATTCTATTATTTTTGTACACAAAATTATTTACTGCCAACTTTCAAAATGAATATTATTCACCAGATTGATAGGGTTTCATTTTCAAAATCAAAACTATTTTGATTGACTAGTGTATGGCAAACTCTTCAATCACTATTCAAAAAAATCGATAAATTCAGTTGTTTTTTATTCCGTCACAATTCTATTATTTTTGTACACAAAATTATTTACTGCCAACTTTCAAAATGATTATTATTCACCAGATTGATAGGGTTTCATTTTCAAAATCAAAACTATTTTGATTTTCTTCATGCATTGTGTGTGTCACACATACATAAATAAACTTTCAAAAAATAACAAATACTATGATAAATGCTGTACGGCATGATGTATAGTGTATGGGGCCCTTTAGAGTACAACAAAAAAAGGAAAACAAGTAAAAATGTCAAAATTATATGTCGATAATAAAAGGTGGCACAATACAATATTTATGTACCATTAAAATGACGAAAAGAATGTTTTATCAAATTTAAATTTGTCAGTTTTTGTGTATCAAAACACATTGCTTTAAAAAAATACTGAATTCTGCAAGAATCTTCAGGAATATAATTTCCATTAATCTCTGTTTTATGATGTATACCTCACTTAAGGAATTTTATATATAAAAACAAAAAGCGGCAACCAAAAAGAAAACATCAGCTGTTTGAAACATCCTGTTATAAAATAACTGTAAAAGCGGGCATTTAAGCTTTGGTAGCGCGTCATTTTTATTTGTGTGCTATTAATTGTGAAATTATTGAAATATCTTTAAATTTTCGAGTTTCTGAAAATATACAACGTGTTTTAGAAATATTTATCACCATTTATTGGCCGGAAGGAAGTGTAAAATGCCATCATAATCGTTATGTGTAGCGAAGGAATTGTGTTGTATATTAGTCTTGTGTGTGTCGGGTTGTGCTCGATGTCGCGAAAGATTGTTTTTTTTCCTGTTAACGTAACGTCGTCAGTTTTAATTGATTTAACAAAATAATTTGAAAATGATACATTGATCTTCTTCAATTTGTTCTTCAAAAAATATCAATTTCAATACGCAATTAAAAAACGCATACGTGTATCTTTCGTGTTTGTGAGCCCAATATTTTGGATAATTTTGTTCACAAAGTTGTTCCGAGTTAATACTAGTGCGGCACGTCTTATTTATTGCGAAAAATGTGCGGATCGGTTTCGAAAAATAAAAAAAAACAATAATTTTATGTTTGAAGTTTATCAATTTATTTTCCTGGACTAATTCTCAAAGAACCCATATCCAAATTCAATTCATTCAAAATATCATTCTGCGCTGGACCTTGTGAGGTAAGATTAGCAATAACTTGTTGAATTTCTGGGCAGCCTTCACAGGCGTTGCGAATGGCCAAAATGCTCCATTCTTTCATTACTGAAAAATAATAGAAAACCAATATGATTAACGAGTATAAAAAAACCATAATCTGTTGCTTACATGGGTTACGTGCATCCATATTGGTGCATTCAAATAATGCCGGCATTAGTTGAGTATCCAAACAATAGCCTTTATTTGTGGAATTTTTATATAGCAAATTTGCCACACTTCTCACCAACAGAGTCTTCAATTCATAAGAAATTTCCGTTTGAAAATCTGCTGATATACCCGATGATAGTGCGACTTCCTCCAGTTTGTTCATTGGTGTAAATATATTCTTTTCCATTTCCTTGCCCACCTGTACCAGACATCTTAGCAAACTTGATACATTCAAAAACAAAGCATGATCAGTGGCATAGATTTGAGAATAACCTTCAGAACCTGATGCCGAGGCTATGCATTGCAAAAGAGCATACGCCTCACGTGGTTTCATACGATCAACTTCTTTCAAAGATGAAAGACGTAAAATGCAATCCGATTTCATTTTAAACTCCTTTGATATATGCTGCAATAGGAATGTGTGGACCTGACCATTTGGACTGTCATTTGACAAATAGTTTAGCAAATAATCGAGTAATGCCAATTTCTCTTCGGTTTCTAATTGGGCATATGATCGTACACAACTACGTCCGTCCTTGACAAGAAATTCTTCAAATATGAAATGTAAAAATTCAAATTGTAACGGACATTTCTGTTCAAGGATTTTCCGCCAAACGTTGGCAACAGCCTTTAGCACGTGGGGATATGGAAGCACTGTCTCTCCCTTACATTTCATGACATTGTAAACAATCATAAGACTGATGTCAACATTACGATCTAATAGCTTCTGTAGATTGCAACACATTTGTAAAATAGCTGCACCATGGTAATGCCACACCAGTGATTGCGTTTCTTCGTTGTTGACAATGACATTAGCCATCAGTTGCCAAGTAATCGTTCGAACTTGTTTGTGCAAATCCTCATCGCCATAGTACTCGGTGTTAAATAGTAAATTATGTAGGAATTCTTGTAAATATTGATTTGTTGCAATGGAACATTGTACGGATGGTCCACGAGCACACAAATTCCTTAAATATCTTAAGTTTTCTACTAGCTCCGCATGGTTATTTTTGCAATCTTGTTGCTGCAGACATAGTAATTTGTTAATATATAGCGTTACTTCCTTTTCCAAATCACTGTAATACAGGAAATATTAAAATAATTATGAAAACATTTTTTTTTAATAAGGGAATACGTACCACATTGTTTGCTTCTCCTTCTTATTGTGTGGTAGGGCATGTATCCAATTGGAGATGATGACACAAAACTGTAAACAATGAATAGAAATGGGGTTACCGTTGTGTTAATATTTCAGTGAATGGGGGAAATGTGATTTACAAATTTTTTTGAATTTTTTAAAACCTTGATTGAGATTCTGGTTAGCTTTTAAAATAAACTCATAATATTCGTGGAAAAATAAAGACTGCCTTCAGCTCATTTATAAATACTCCCTTCAGCTTGTTTACTAAGACTCCCTTAAGCTCGTCTGTATATATTCCATTCAGTTCGTTTATGAAAACTGCTTTAGCTCGTATAGACTCCAATTTATCTTTTCTATCATATCCTGTAAATTGAAAACATCAACGAATCACAATATTAATATTATAGGTTTAATACCCCATTTCATGTATTTTTTATATAAAAACAAAATGTGGCAACCAAAAAAAGAAAACATCAGCTGTTTGAAACATCCTGCTATAAAATAACTGTAAAAGCGGGATTTTAAGATTTGGATGCGCGTCGTTTTTGTTTGTTTTCAATTAATTTTGAAATAACTGAATATAACGTGGCGTCTTCAGTTTTATGGAATTTATTAAAATACTTTCAGAATTACACATTGATTTTCCTCAAATTGTTCTCCGGAGAAATATCTGTTTTCATGCGCAATTTAAAAATTGTATACGGGTATTTGTGAGTCCAAAATTTTGGATAGTGTTCTTTATTAATTATTATTATTGTTCAATGTTGCGGTACGTCTTGTTAATTGTGAAAAATGCGCGGTTCGGTTTCAAAAAATAAAACAATGTTAATTTTGATGTTTATCAATTTATTTTCCTGGAATAATTCTCAAAGAACCCATATCCAAATTAAATTCATTCAAAATATCATTCTACGCTGGACCTTGTGAGGTAAGATTAGCAATAACTTGTTGAATTTCTGGTTAGCTTTCACATGTGTTGCGAACGGCCAAAATGATCCAATCTTTCATTACTGGAAAATAATAGAAAACAAATATCATTAACTAGGGTCACATAAAATACTAATTTTCGATAACTTACAAGGAATACATGCATCCATATGGGTACATTAATGAGTGTCCAAACAATAGCCTTTATTTGTGGGATTTTTATATAGCAAATTTGCAACACTTCTCACCTACAGTTCATAAGATATTTCCGTTTGAAAATCTGCTCATATACTGGATGATGGTGCGACTTATTCCAATTTGTTCAACCTGTACCATATTTTATACATTCAAAAATAGCGCATGATCTTTGGCATAGATTTGATAGTACCCTTCAAAACCCAATACCGAGGCAAGGATGATAGACTTCTTTTTAAATTCTCGATATATGCTGCAATAGGGATATTTAAACCGGACCACATAGAACATAAAAATCTATCTGGTGGGTAATTTCTAAGCGTTTATCTAAATCATTAATTCTTATGAGCAGAAAAGAGTGAGGTTTCAAAGCATCCATAACCCCAAAATTATACCAGATGCTTAAAACTATTTAACGTCTACTGAACCAATATATCACCTATATTGAAAATGTTCTAAACAGATGTATTTATCATGTGAGAAACCCCTCTTAGTTTTGGCATAAGTTTAGATTTAAAATATTTATAATCTTTGGGAAACAGCCACTTTGGTGGAAAATTCTGCAATGCTCTTAAAAATACCTACAATTGTGCGGATTATTGTATGGTGTTGTTTTTGACACAACAATACTTCCTTAGATCCTATAAAGAAATTTCTTTTAGTTCGTCCATAGAGACTCCTTTCAGATTGCCTACAAAGACACCCTTCATCTTCCCTTCATCTGGTCTATAAAGATTCCAATTATCAAGTCACCCATCAGATCAGCTATAAAGGCTCATATCAGCTCGTCTATAAATATCTCCACTGCTCAAATGTATACATTTTATTCTCTTTGCATTCAAAAGATATGTATATACGTTATACGTTTTAAATTTTATAAATAAGAAAATTTGTATTTGGTATTTTTTTAGAAGGGAATTATGACTAGTGTCATTACATATAGTACATCCAATATTAGTCTATAGTACTAAAATAAAAACAATTACAAATAGTATTAAGAATTTAAAACTATATGATAGTGCAGTCACAGTATTGACTCACTATATTTCCGTTTATTTATCCTTAATGTAAAGTGGTGTGAGATCTTTGCAGCTCACCAATACTGTTGACTTGTAAATTTTGTTGTGTACTGCTATCTCTTCCACCGGAAGCCATTATCGATTCCATGCGATGACTTGTTTCTCGCATCACCCCAGTCAACTCCGTAAAGTCAGGCAAGTCCAGTGTTAAATGGGCTGAAAATCTCTTGTATACCGATGATTTGGAATTATCCTTTTCCGCCTTGCCTTTGATTTCTTCATATTTCAATTGCTGCTTTAGAAATATTGAATTTTTAACCATATCCTGTATATTGGAAAATATTGCACCCGATGCTTCAATGTCCTTCATAGAACGTACAGCATATTCCATATCGAAACAATGTCCTTGTAGATCCTTTTGTAGCTCAATAACTTCAATTCTTTTATCAAGAATGGGTTGTAGAACTTTGCGAACATGTTCTTGGATACGATAAAATGCCAATGAAGGATCATTGGCTACAATGTGTATATTCTCGGATAGCTTTTCGGAAGATTTTCGAACTTTTACAGTTAAATCTGTATTTTGACTGGGTAATTTTTGATTATTGGACATTGCAAACTACTATTTTTTATCTATACGATTGTTTTCTTTTTGTTGGTGCCTGTGTTCTATTGGTTTTTGTTTACTTGTGAAATAGAGTTCATAGGAACTATTCCGAGAAAGGAACGATCGGAACTAGCTTCAACTCTTTAATTAATATAGTTCATTTTTCTGATCTCGTTCCTTTTCGGTCTGGTACAGTTGAATTCCGTAGTTTCATTTCATTTTTTGCTTTCATCTTTGCACAATTTTCGATCATCTATTAACAACACGGAAGTATGTGAGCGAAAAAAGAAACAAAAATAACGATGAAAGAGAGAGATTCAGAGGAACTATGTAGGGGTCGGAACTATATGGAGCAAAGGAACTATTTAGAGCTAAGAATTATAAAAAAGCGAAGGAATTATAAAGAGCAAAGGAACTGAATAGAATAAAGGAACTATTGCCCAACTCTATTGTGAAAGTCAAATCCTGCCAGACCATCGAGCCTTGTATACCCTAAAACAGCTGTTTATATTTCATACTTTATGCGGCAACCCTGCAATTCAAATCACGTTGATTTGAGATTGTAAACAAAAACATTAAAAACATTGGAACATTCTCCGAGGGAGTTCTTAAAAATCTAAAAAACCATGTCTCCCAATTATCAATCGAAAAAGTTGGACAAAAAACAAAAACGATGCGTGGCAATTATTCAAAATGAGTGCAAAATCGAACCAGTTACAGATGGGGTTTCCAAATATGTGGCCATTCTCAATGCCGGTCTGTCCACGGGCCTCACAGAGGAATTGGTTCTGGAAACAGTGGAGAAATATGGACAAATATCTCGACTCTTGATGTTGCCCAACAAATCATATTGCTTTATGGAATGCAGTTCAACAGATGATGCCCAAAATATCGTACAAAATATGAATGGTATTTCGAAAATCGGACAAAAGGAAGCTGTTGTATACCTATCATATTTTGCCGAACTTCCACAATCAGAAGATTCAAATTGGCTAAAACCTTTACCCGATGGATTAATATTACTAAATGATTTTATCACCGAAGAGGAGGAACGCCGTTTATTGGATGCCATACAAATGCAAGACATTGAAGTTGATGCTGCCTTAAAACATCGTAAAGTAAAGCATTTTGGTTATGAATTTATCTACGGGCGGAACAATGTTGATCCCGACAAGCCATTAAGTAATAAAATCCCTCAAGAATGTGATGGATTTTGGCCAAGACTAGAGGCAATCAGTATAGAACGTAACTATGATTTTGAATGGTATGTTCCGGATCAATTAACAGTAAATGCCTATGAACCTGGTCAGGGAATACCACCCCATGTTGATACCCACAGTGCCTTTTTGGATCCCATACTCTCTTTGTCCTTAGAGAGTGATGTTGTTATGGAGTTCCGTAAGGGCTTGGAAAAACGTTCGGTTGTATTACCACGACGTTCGTTGTTAATTATGTCTGGTGAAGCGCGCTATGATTGGACACATGGCATTACACCGCGCATTTTAGATGTTGTAATGACTGCTAATGGCAATTTGTCGACACGACGACGTTCAAAACGTACCTCTTTAACATTTAGAAAGTTAAGAAGAGCTCCATGTAACTGTAATTTCCCCTTGCTTTGTGATACTAAATTGGAAGCATTGAAGACAACAGAATCAACAATTGAAACCGAGAAGGCCGCCCTTTTGGAAGAGAAAAATGTTCATAACGTCTACGACCACATTGCCGAACATTTCAGTGAAACCAGACATTCACCATGGCCACAGGTTGCTGATTTCCTTAAGAGTTTTCCCCCCTCGTCCATACTACTCGATGTTGGTTGCGGAAATGGTAAATATTTAAATTGTAATCCAAATCTACTCAACATTGGCTGTGATCGCAGTAATGGCCTGTTAAAGGTATGTTCTTCCCTCAACTATCAAACGTTCCGTTGTGATTGCATTCATGTTCCGGTGAGATCCAACAGTGTTGATGGTTGTATAAGTATTGCGGTTATACATCATTTGGCTACTAAGGAAAGACGTCTGATGGCTGTTAAAGAGCTGGCGCGAATTTTAAGACCCTCGGGCCAGGGTCTCATATATGTCTGGGCCAAAGATCAAAATGCCAATAATAAGAAATCATCTTATCTGCGGCAAAATAAATCGGTTAATAAACAAAAAGCCACCGAAGAACAACAGAGGCAACAAACGCAACAACAGCTGGAGGAGAAAGCTAAAGAAGCTCCCGTGGCACTTCCGGTACATACAAATCGTACGGAATTTTTACAGCAAGATGTTTTGGTGCCGTGGAAAGTGAAAGGTCCAGTGCAACAAGTTGAGGCTGACAAATCAACATTTTTACGTTACTATCACGTATTTGAAGAAAACGAATTGGAATCGTTGATTGGCGAGGTGCCTGATATAAATCTGGTTAAAAGTTACTATGATCAGGGTAATCATTGTGTGATTTTTGAAAAGATTTGAAATTATGGAAATAGGAAAAAATATTGACTATATACTGTAATGATTTTATATTTAAATATTATTTAAAAAGTTATGAAAATTTGTAAATTTTTATTTAAATAAATTATTCATAGTATAACATCTTGTTATCGTTTCACAAAATATATAGGGGAAATTCCTGTGGTTACTGGAAAATCTTCCTTATGCTTTCCTGCAGACACTGAAGATTGTAACATCTTGCCAATATCATCGCTATAATAAATGATTAGAAAATTGCCAAAGAACAATTAAAGCTCCTCAGATGAGGATGGACTCTGAAAACTTTATTTACTCTGAATTCATTTATATCCTCAGCAATTGTAGAAGTTATGCTTTATATATTTAAAAAACTATCTCTCTTTGGTATATGATCCATTCTGTCACTTCTGGATTGAGAGTTTTATCCACCATGGGGTGGCAAGGATGATGCGAATAGACCTAAGCAGAAAGCACATTGTTATGCTTGCATAAGCGACTGATGTAATGGAGGCATCTTTTTGACAATATAAAAAATCGATTAGATCATGAATTGAATCACATCAGGAAGCTATTGCAGCTTCATATGTTTTCAAAACTTTTTCATTAAATCAATTTTCCTCCCATGACCAATAGTAGGAAATACACTTAAGCTTGTATGTGGCCAGTTGTACGCTCTAGAGAATGAAGAAAATTAGAAGAAGTCATAGTTAGATTTCGAAAATCTAGGAATACCTTATTTTCTCCCCATTAAATAAAACAACAATTTAAATTTTGTATTTTAATATTTTCGTTGATGATGTATATTTTTGGTTTTCAATATTATCTTCTTCTTCTTCTTTACAATGATGAATAATGAGTTTACAATATTTATTTAGGTTTTTTTGTTTCTTCTTGTAAAGGCGACACAATCATGTAGATAGTGAAGGATGAGGTTGGTTAGGGGACGATATAGTGGACTTTCATTTGATGTGTTTTAGTTACAATGCTTTTGAAGTTATAAACTAATCAAACTAGGATTTATATACGATACGCATATATAAGTAAGTTTGTGTATATATTTTCCATTTTTTTGTTTGACATGCATTAAGGACAATGAACA